GAGAGAGAGAGAGAGAGAGAGAGAGAGAGAGACAGAAGAGTTACTAATTTTCACACAGTACTCTGGATCGCTTGACAAGAAATGACAAGCTCTTCGAGTCACGCAAGATCGCCTGTCTACCGTTGTCAGTGAGTGAGAGTTTTTAATTGTCAGGTGGATACGTGAGTCAACCGATGACAGTTACCATGACAACAACGCCCGCTTGTCCTTTCAGCTTCAGAGTGTGCTGTACATTAGCAGAGATCCGTCAGTAGATTATTCAGGTTCCTGTTGTTTAAGGCGCTCGCAGCTAGCTTAGTGGGCATAGTGAGTAAATGCCAACCGGACAACAACTGTGCGTTTTTTAAAACTCTTTTTGTTGTTTTGTATCATTTTACTATCCACATAAAGCACTCTTTCACACACATACACACACACGCGGGCACGCCCGCGCGCACACATACACACGCACATACACACGAATGCACAGACATACATACACGCCCGTGAACACACGTGGGACACCTGTGCACAAACACTTCAGGCGGTTAAAAAGATACAATTAAGACAAGGGGAAACAAAGGTTCGCACACGAAGTCGTCGAGCGCCAGAAGGGGGAGTGAGGGAACGAGATATCGTATGGAGGAATAATTATCCTTTAATAGGGTGGGGGGGGGGGTGATAATGTGATAAGGATCTAATACAAACCTGTCTGTAGAGCCGCCTACTTTCGAAAAAATACCCCAAAAACATAGCCTTTCGCTTTCTTTGAATCGGATCGAATCAAATCGGATTAGGCAGCTGCATAGACGTGGAATCGACACAATTTTCCGCTATCCCAAAGCTTAAAGAGCATACAGAAACTCGCGTTAAAATCCGTCTGACCAAAAATATCCCCTCATTTTGGGACATTGAAACTGCGACCATAAAAGCAATGGTAAAATAACGTCGCATAAGAGCTCGTAAAATATTTCCTCGACTCGTCTCCGAGAAGACCGGCGATTCTCCATCTTTTCTTTCATAATAACTTCTCTGGAGGGCGACCGGTTTTTTCACCTCCCCTAATTGCGTTTCTTGATGTGCGTTTCCTTCGGAATGCAGGCCAGGGAGGATCAGAGAGAAAGAGGTTCTCGTTCTTAGCTCCGGCAGGCTGCTATTGTCCATTATCAAATTAGATCTGATTAAGTTCTAGAACATTCTCTTTAATGCCAGAGGCCGTCCCGCGGATGACAATCGGCATTCTACTGCAGCGCGAGGGGGGGCTTTGTGAAGTCGCTGCAGGTTCCCAGTAACGATGGGTAGTGGAATTTGAGAGAGAGGGAGAGGGGGGAAGGTAGGAGAAGAAGAGAGAAAAAAGGAGAGGTCAGGTTTGATGGGGTGAGAGAGAGGTGGGAGAAGAAGAAAGAGAAAAAGGGG